ACCCAGGACTGTCACGATAGCTTCACTCTAGCAGCAGATTATGAATGGACTGTTTTCGCTAACAAAAGCGTCGTAATTGGAGTGGAAAGTAATCAGGCATTGTTCTCTACACTCACGACTGACCTAAAAGCATGAGACTCATGAGCAACTTGCTCTGATTAATGAAACACATGTTTAATCACACATCACAACACAGTTTTGTCAGGACAAACACAGAGACAAGCAGCTTTACTGTGAGATGAGAATCAATTTTGCTTTTGCTTCAGGACTCAATGTAAAAAGTAATGGCCCAAATCAAACCTGCGAACATTATCGGATGCAGCTGGGTTGCATTTTCTGTTATCTCGCATAGTTTGAATAATGGTTTTCGAGGTTCATGTAGCTAAACTCTTCATATAACAGTAGGTTACAATTACACAGTGCTTAATAATAAGGATATTATGAATTCATAAATAAACATTTAAGTAAGTATAAGTGTAAGTAAGTTGTTGTTTTTTAGCATGTGTTTGGCAGTGCTATTTTTTAGGATTACTGATAAACTACTGTCATTTGATTTGTATTATTTGTATTTGTTATTTATTTTAATTTTACTTACGTTATGTCTGAATTTATTATGTCTGTATAGGTCTTTTATTAAGTTTTTAGTTTGATTTAATTTGAGTTATTTTAATACTTCAACAAACTAAATGGAAATGAAATAATATATATATTGAACTCATAAAAGTGTATGTAAACATACAGTATATATATATGTGTGTGTGGTTGTACATACACATATGTAGTTGTTTTTTTGGTGTTTGGCTTAGTGTTATGTTAGAATCATTATACTCTTATACCTTTTGTTCTTTAATATTTTGAATTGTTTTTAGCTTTATTTTTTGGTTTTCATTTAAATGTTAAGTTTTGAAATATTGTTGTATGCATTTGTCATTTTTATTTAATCTCTTTTTATTTTTAAAATATGTCTAGGTAGTATTTATAAAGTTTTAGCTTTTAGTTTTGGATCTGTTTTTAGTTGTTTTAATACTGCAATTGATTGCTTCTGTTGTCCTCATTTGTAAGTCGCTTTGGATAAAAGCGTCTAATAAATGACTAAATAAATAAATAACAATCTAGTTAAGACTAATTTGCGCCCCAAATGTCATATAAACTTTCACTGGACGTGCAGCATTTGTGTCAACATTGAAGGATATGGGAAGTGCTTTCTTTTTAAGTTAAAGGTTGATAAACCTATTTATTTTGCTATAATAACTTAACATTAGTGTGACTCTTTTTGCAGGTTAGTCACCTAACAGTAGGTGGCGGTAAGTGACTGTCTTTATGAGTGAGTCATCAGATAATTCATTTCAAAAACGCTGATTCATTCAAAAAATAAAAGTGCAGGCCTGCGTCCCAATATGCAGACTATCCATCCTAAATTCTATGTGATATTAGTCATTTTCAATGCTATTTAGGGCAGATAGGGTTGATATGCACATTGGGACACAGGAGCAAGTTCATGCTAATTCATTCAGGAACAAATCACTTAAAGTCACCATTAAATCAAAAATTTAAATTCTTATTTTTTTAATGGAATACTGTAGTGCTTATTATAAATCATTTATCCGTGCACTTCATTATTTTTTAAAAATGCATGTGCCCTCATAATCTTTAATCAAAAACATTAACCTCCTATCTCCCTCAAAACGACTCATCTTCTCTTCCGGGCACAAGCTATGGCGCAAGGGCGGAACTAGTGACGTGAGGGGTAAACGCTGGGATAAACAACAGGGGGAAAAACTCAAGCTGATGCTTCACTTTATAGAAATCAATGCATTGAGACCAGTGTTGACGCAAGCCATGGGGGAGTACACTACCCTTACAAATCGAAAGGATATTAGGATATTACCACAACATTACTTATAGGACATCGCAAACTATTTTTTTATGAATATGACTTAACCTGACGGAGGACGCGCTCAGTCATTCAGGCAGTCTCTCTCTCACGCGCGCGCTGTTAGGTATGTTTTGTGTTTTGTCGTCTTCCTCAATAAATAAATTTCTTCATGCTAGGGTGTCAGCGGTGAATCCAGTGGAGAGAAATCCCCCCACAACTAACTGCAAACTGGCATTCAGATCTGCCTCCATTTTGTTAGCAACGCCCCAACTTCCAACGATCCAATCAATTCCCGAAGGACGAAATCAAGTCCCGCCCTCTCATTTCAGATGCCATTTCACTCGGATAGACGTCACAGTAGAGAAAATAAAAAGACAATCGCTACTTCCGTTTCATGCCGACTTTAATGTTGTTTCTCGCAATTCTTGGTGTTGAGCAGTTCTGCTGTGGCTTTGTTTGGAACTATTTTCGTTGGCAGAACAAAAACATACGATTAAAGTAATAACTGGAAGAATATAGTGGCTGAAATATTCAATATTAACATTGTTTATTGAGCAAAACTCGGTCATTAGCCTACAACTTAATTTACAAAATTTCTGTGATGGAAATACTAACAAAACGTGGTCTAAGAACGTTTTGCTATTGAAAATGATATTTTTGTTATGTGAACATTGAAAACGTTCAGGTTTTTTATTTTTCAAGTTTTTCCTGGTTATGCGAACATTAAGGGAACATTCAATTTGATCATTTTGCAAACATTACTTTTAAATGTACTCTGAACATTCTGAAACACATAACATTTAAAAAAAGATGTATGCATGAATAAAAGATGCATAAATGGTATTTTTGTGCTAATGTTTTAAGAACATTATTAATGACCAGATAACTTTGAAGGAATATTCTGTTAACAATAGGCTACTGGAATAATATTTGTTCATAACTTAAGAAAACCTTACCAGAGCGTTAGCCGGAGTTTTGAGAACATTTTCTGTTAGCTATGACATTCTGTAGCAAAACATTTGCATTCCCTCAAGGAACTTTGCATTTGCTCAAACTTTTGTGATATATATATATATATATATATATATATATATATATATAGGCTATACACTTTGCATTTGCTCACAAAAGTCAGTGATTCCTCTGGATTTACAATTTGGTTGATAGTGTGGCAGTTTAGGTTAAAAGACATAGTTAGTTACTTAATTCAGAAACTGAATTCTAAAACCTATAGTAAAGTAAAGTTTTAATTTCTTTTAGATCACCACAGGTGTTTTCAAAAGTGCCAAGACTACCGTGTAGACTAATTTTGTCTGCAAAGTGACTGAGCAAGAGAAAAAAAGCGAGAGGATATGGGGGGTCTATTCAGCCCCTCAGTCTATGTCAAGTCTCTGTGGCCATTTATCAGGAAGCATGAATGCTTGCCTTCATCTTCTCCCTTTTTTTCTTCTTTAGGCCAACCACAGTTCAGCTTTAAGCTGATTTTGCCTCTCTTCTTTGTGGGACGAGAGTAGTCTGTTCTTCCGTGGGCCAATAGCCTATAAGTTTAGGAGTGACATCATTGCCAGATTATGCTCTTGCCAAGTGTCATGAAAGAAACTCTCCCCGTTGTTCCCCAATGAAAAGAAAAGAGGCAAAGAGGCTCTGGGAAACCCTGACACTCCTCCTTGCCTGCCATGGGAACTGTTAACACAGAAGAGAAAATATTTCATTTGACAATGCACAGATTGTAATCAGGCACCGTTCCAGGACCGGACCACGGTTCAATCTGGGACTGCATTAAATTTTAGGCCAGACTTGTTGCATAATGGCTAGTTATGTTTAGTGTGAGAGAGTGATTCAAACTAATGTGTCTTCATTTGGTGTCAGTTTCACATTTTCAGTCATGGAGAGATGTCTACGTGTAAACTGAGCTCAGGCATCCGTTCATCACTGAAAATCAACAGCCATCTAGAGTACATATGTCCCAATATAGATTTTCATGTCTTTACTGAGCCAATGAGCACCATTCAAAATTACATACTAGTCTAATGTCACAAACTTGCATTTAGGAAAACGGAAATTAATAATGCTTAGTATTAATAGTTGTAATTTCTTTTTCAGTATTAATGCCTGATGTCTGCCAAAATCAATGCCATACGAAAATTATGTAATATTTTATTTTAAATGACATTCCTAATTTAATATATATTCTTAAAAAATCTTTAAAAAAATTAAATAAGAAAAAAAAGATCTAACTTGCAATTATGGGTATTTTAGAGTAGGTGCAGTTAGGAATAGTCTCTGTTGGCTTGGAGATGTTTAAGGGTTGTTTCTTTCTTCTTTTTTTGGATGCTTGAATAGCAGTCTGGCAGAAACCTCGAATAGCTCAAAGCAGGGTCTGCATACCAATGCAGTTAACACTTGGCACTATTGGCAGCTTTTTGTAGTATTGTGAGAGTGATGATTACAAAAAATGTTGATATGGGCATATTTCTGAATGCTTAATCTTTTTGATGCATCTCAATTAATTTTATTTTAAATAGGTATTTAAATGTAGTTGTTTAATTTGACATGAAATTTATTTAAATGTAGGTTTTGATAAGACTTACTGGTAAGATTGTGAAAGAAGAATGCATTTGAGTAATTTATCGAACAAAACCTTTTCACAAAAATTACACAAGGACCAGAAAGGTTACATGAGAGCATATTGCAGTAATGCCACCTTCTGGTGACAGTGGATGTTAACATAATGGCCTGGGTGATACAGAGATACAGTATTTCTTCAAAAATACCTGACCAAAGAAGAAAATAGAAAAATACTGAAAAAACAAACAAACATATAAAATAAGTAATAAAAGAGCCCTCAATCAATTGGTGTGATTATTGCAAAACATTTATTTCTTCTAAAACGTAAATCAGACCTTAAGCAGAATTCAAGTCTGTATTACAGTTACAGCTGCATTACAGTTCCAATAGCATTTACAGTTGCATACAGGCTGGATCGATTCTGCATACAGACCATATTGTTGATTATGTGGAGAGCTTTATAAATATGATTTCAGTTTATGGCTATACATTGTACAGAGAATGATTTTGAATATCTGACCACAAAACCATGCAAAAGAAAAAAAAAATATGAATACAATATTACATTATACATTTTTAGTGTGTTACAAAACACGAATTAAACAGGGTCTGGTTTAGATACATTTTTAAACAAAATTCATGCAACCATCATGCAAAACTGTTATCTTTGAGGAACACATTTTTCAAATATGAACTGTAAATTAGATTTAAAAATAACACCACGCAAATTTTAAAGAACTATATGAACTATTGAAAAATGCTGTTATTCATTGCTGCACAGTTTGCATGTAAACACACCAACACGTTTATAATCTACCATGGTTAAAGTAACTATCTTTTTAAAAAGTTCAAAAGAGACCTATTTCTGTTACACGTGAACATTGCTATATGCATTTGTACAGGTGACTATACCTCTTCTTTTTCCCAGACATGTCCTTGCCAGGATTGATAATTTGCCTAAAATGTCCAGATTTTGGCTTTGTTTTCTTACTGACTTGCTATTTACAGTCCTCATACATTATATGTATTTGCATTGCTTTGACCGTTCTCTGCATCCCACCTTCTTGCACGCCACAATTGGTCAATTAAGCACAATGCCTGCACAAACTACTTTTCAGTCATTACCTTCAGCAAGTACAAAAACAAAGCCAAAACTCAGACATTTTAAGCCATTTAGAAATCCTGGCCAGGACATGTCTGGGGAAAATAGAATCTACAGTCACCCTAAGTTACTGTACATCAGAGAAAAAAAGCTCTTTGTACAGACATGAGTTTATCCTCAATGGAGCCACATGCTGAACTCCTGCAGAAAAGACAGCGGGCAGTAAAAGAAATGTCTCTGGGGCGGCCCACCGGCACACTAGTTTAATGGTGTGTCTCACTAGTACACACCATTAAACACTCACTAACATCATTAAATCAAGTAATGAAGTAATGAGCCAGCGAGCCACCAGGGGCAATGCTGAGAAACACTGTGGTTGCATGCAATACATTTCATCTGGCACATAATTTTATCTTCTGTATGAGTATAATGTGCAATAGACAATTCAGAATGCCATTTAATTGGCTGCTCTATGTTAGGTAGGACTATCCATGTAATATTGCAAAAACACATCCACATTTTTACAGACATTATCGTACATAAACTATTGTTATGCGGAGAAATGTAAAACCAGTAGGGTTTGCAATGTAATATATTAAAACTATGCAGTTGCATTGATGTTTAATGCATTTTCTTGGATTTAGCACCACATTTTAGTTTCATTTTGTTATGCAAAATCCAGTGTGTTCATTTATAAAGAGCACTAAATAAAACATATTTGTTTCCTCTGTGATTTATAAAAAGTTTGACAAGTTAAATTAAATAAAATGTATGGAAAGCTAAAAAAAAGGAGAGAAATAAAACAAAAATAAAAAGTAAAATAAAAATATAAATAAAATGATGTACACATTCAGAGGAACTGAGCTTACGGTGGAAAGCTCTTATTTCTCAGTGCAGTTGTTACTTCTGTAAACGGTTTAGTAAACAGTTTTACTACGAAAAGATACATGAAATCGTTGTTTACTTATTTCTTGATTAATTATATCCTCCCTTCGAGTTGTGCGAACAGTGAACAACTTTCAAACCCCATTCTGACAGAAAACACAGTGGAATGCTTTGAATTAGCACCCCATCAAAATGAGGTTATGTGCCTTGTATGTATAAAATATTAAGATCCTGAACCCACTGCAGTGTTCAGACAGGAAGTTAGTTCTTTCATTACTTCAAGTCAGCGCTGTCTGGACAAACTATACTCACATTCCTTCTTGGACATAAATAGATATTAATCATTCTGAAACAAAAGGCAAATCCATGGTATTAATAAAAAGAGGGATAGCCTTAAGATTATATAATAAATAGTGCAACATTTGCAACCTCTGTCCTTCAAAATGACAAATTATTTGAGAAGGACGTTTTCCAGTTTTAAAATCCAGGAAGTCGTTGCTGGTGTAATTCTGTAGGACCTACTGTGAAGTTCTCCACTGCATCAGAGCAGCAGGTTCCTCAGCGTTCACAGGTCCGTCTTCACTGGCTCTGCCATGTTGTTTAACATCAGACTGCGAGGTTTGTCTGGACTCACCACAGCGGTGGTGAAAAGGGGAAGAACGGATACTGAGTATCATCCTCATCCACAAAGAAACACTGGAAGTAGGGAACGTCCTCTGTAGTGGAAAAGACATTAGAGGTTGTTTTAGGAACAGGCTTGTCATTTGACCTTTGTCTCCAACTTTGAAATGTTTCTATTGTCAAGATGGTTTATGCATTACTACAAGATGACATTTAAAGAATAGGTGCATGTACAGTTTGTGTGGTGTGATCTTAAAGCAAATAAAAGTTCACCATGATCTGAAGTTCACACTTGATACACTTAAAAATAAAGGTGCTTCACGATGCCATAGAAGAACCTTTTTGTCTAAATGGTTCCATAAAGAACCTTTAACATCTGAAGAACCCTTCTGTTTCACAAAAGGTTCTTTGTGGCGAAAGAAGGTTCTTCAGATTATAAAAAGATAAGAAAGAGATGGCTCTTTAAAGAACCTTTCACTGAATGGTTCTTTGTGGAACCAAAAATGGTTCTTCTATGGCATCGCTTGAAGAACCTTTTGAAGCACCTTTATTTTTAAGAGTGTATAGTGACAAAACTTACCCTCCTCTATCTCTGGAATATCTTTGGTGACATCAGGTTCTTCTCCTACAGAAGGGTAATACAGATTTCCTTTAATTTATGATCTTAATCAAATAATTTTACAATACATCATGGTTATCATAAACTAAAATGACAACTAAAACTAAAACTGAAATAAAAAGGTTTAGTAATTTATATGCGTTTTATTTTAGTATTTCAACTATACACACACACACACACACACACACACAAACACACACACACACACACACACACATATATCTTACTTTTTACTTCCTTTTCCACAACAGGTTCTTTCTCAGTTGGCTCGACTACTGATTACAGAACATTCACAAAACATCAGATAAATGTTACATTTTACATGATACGTATATAGTATCAGAATACATGGACTGCACTTTACACCAAATATTACTTTATACCACTTTATAACTGTTAAACTTGAAAGAAAAGAAAAAAATACAAAAAACCTGCTCAGGTTCTAAAACATAAAAGAAAATAGCTTTATTAAAATTATCTTAAATCTAGAAAGTAGAAAGTTCCTGTTTGTTATGTGCTGGACAGCTCTGATTTTCTTAGACATGTTTTCAATATTTCTTCTTAAGGAATATCAGATTCCAGTTAATGTCTACACATGCATTTTTAGCAAGTACTGTTTGTAGATGAAAAGTTTTCTATATTCATGAGTCAACTATTATATACTAGCCAGACGTCACATGATCAACTATTAATGTCAAGCCTGTTGATGAATATATAAAATAATGAATATTCTAGGAGTGTAAAGAACTATTGCTAAAATGAATATGAAAAGTCTGTGTTAGTAAATCACTCTATGCAATCAGCCATAGTACCTTTCTTTAAAGGTTCCTTTTCTTCTTTGACCTTCTCACGGGTGATTTCTAGCATCAGGAGAGATATTTTCAGTCACTGATACAACAATAAGAATCTTTTTACTTAGCAAAAAGAAAATGATATTGGTAGGTGATTTCAATTGTTAACAGTAAATATATAATTTACCTTTCTTTTTGGGCTCTGGTCTGATCTTAGCTTTTGGAGCCTCTTTATCTAGAATAGAAAAGCTATTCATTTCTTGGATATAATGGATATAAATAATTTGTTGTGATAACCTTTAATCTAAATAACAGTTCAAAGTGATTCACAAAGAAATAAGAATAAAACGAATATAAACTAGTATTTTTACAAAAATAATCTTCTGATTTAGGTTGTCTTAATTGCCCACAAAACTCACACTTCAATAAATTCTGTCAATTAACCTATGCATATTTGTATAATATAGCTGCTGTTACATAGATTTCCGATGTACCTTTCTTTGCAGGTGCTGGTTTAGTGATGTTTTTTAGTGCATCACGTTCTGTGTTGTGGAGAAGACAAACTGGTTAAGCTGCTTGCAAGTTTTAATTGCATAATAATAGGACAACGAGAGCTGGATATTAATTTACATTCATTTTGTACTGTATATGTGACCCTGGACCACAAAACCAGTCATAAGGGTCAATCTTTCGAAATTGAGATTTATACATCATCTGAAAGCTGAATAAATAAGCTTTCCATTGATGTATGGTTTGTTAGGATAGGACAATATTTGGCCAAAATATTTGCAAAAAAATGAAAATATTGAGAAAATTTATTCATTTGGAGAAAATCCAAATGAAGTTCTTAGCAATGCATATTACTAATCAAAAATTCAGTTTTGATATATTTACAGTAGGAAATTTACAAAATATATTCATGGAACATGATCTTTACTTATTATCCTAATGATTTTTGGCATAAAAGAAAAATCGATAATTTTGACCCATACAATATATTTTTGGCTATTGCTATAAATATACCCCAGTGACTTAAGACTGGTTTTGTGGTCCAGGGTTACATAAAGACAAAGTAAAAAGTAAAATCAGTAAGTCATAAAATAAATTATACATATTATACATACATATACAGTACACATTATACTGTACATAAGCAGAAGAACCAATCTGACTGAAATTGCATCATGTAGAATATTCTAATATTGCTTTTATGATAAAAGCATATAATATAATATATAATAAACTGTATCTGGCAACTTTTTAAAATAAATAAATCCTGAGAATAAACAAGTAAAATAATAGGTTGTGTACGAGAATTACCTGTTTTAATATGTGCTGTCTTAGTAACGTTCATCAGAGCATCAAGGCCTAGAAAAGAAAATCTTTCACTCACTCGCATGTGAACATTACAGGGGCAATCAGACCCTGTTTAGTTGTAGCTCATTATGTCTACAATTCATGACCAGCTTGTGTAATTGAACAGTTTTAATACCTTTTTTTGCTGTTTTCAGCTTTTCCTTGGAGACCGCTGCTTTTACCTTTACACCGACAATCTCTGGCTCTGTAAGAGACGCAAGCAGCATGTGGTTTAACGTAAGCCAAGAAATTTCAAGCCTTTTTTTTCAGCCTGATAATGTCAAAATCCACTGTAGTTCTAACATGGACAAAATACCTTTGATTGTTCTGTTGTCCATCCGTAAAAGTGTGATTTGATTTTGAGTGGACTCCAGATCACTCTTCATTTCACCAATGTCCTTCCTCAGTAAGTCCAGAAGAGACAGTTTTTGGTTGATAGAGTTCAGGAGTTCCAAGTCCAAACCAATAAGACCAACATCATCTGTGTATTCAGAAGTGTTTTGAAACTTGGTGAAATGTAAGCTTTAATTATTCATTACCACTATCAAAAAAACCCCAACAGTATTATAAGTACATTTTGTAAAAGACATGCGAAGGTCTCACCTTTTTTAGGTTTTGGCTCTAATAACTTTTCTTTTGAGACTTCAGGCTCTATAAAACAGTATTGTTTCATGTGATAATCATTTTATATAATAATCATACAAAAGAAAGCAATACTACATGCAGGATTATTTCATTGACATCCATACCTTTCTTCAGAGGTGCTTGCTTAACTTTCTCCTTGAAGACTTCAGACACTGAAAAGGCAATAATATGAATATTTTTTTCTTTCAATTATTTGTTAATAATTTCTTTAAATTGGAGGTCAAATATTGGTAATTCTAACCTTTCTTCTCAGGAGCTGGTTTAGCTTTCTCCTTGATGACTTCAGCCTCTAAAACATTCATAAAACAACATTTAGAGCAAATTAAAAACTTAATATAGCATGATATAATATTCTGCTTGGGAACAGTGGTAATGTGATTGTGAGCGTAGTATGTAAATCAAACCTTTCTTCACAGAGGTTGCTTTAGCTTTCTCTTTGACAATTTCAGCCTCTAAAATAATAAAAGTAATAAGAAAACATTGAAAAAAGCCCTATGGCTTGGCTAAAAATTGATGACTCAACTAAAATAACCTGATTATTTTAAGAGGCTGAAACCTGATTTGCTTCACAGGATATCACACTAAAAATAGAATCAAATAAACTCATACCTTCCTTCACGGGGGCTGCTTTAGCTTCTTCTTTGATGGCTACAGCTTCTGAATTAGAGACGAAGAAAAATATTTATAAAATGTAAAGCACAGATAAGTAAAGTACAGATAAAGTACCTTTCTTTGGTGCTGGCTTTGGCTTTTCTTTGGTTATTTTGGGTTCTATAAAACATTGGCAGTAGCACTTTAAAATAGCAAATGGCAAATAGCAAATAAATTGACAATTTTGTAATGTGAATTTTGAATTAAAATGTCAACTAGATAAGTACCCTTTTCTTTAAGAACTGGTTTTGCCTTTTTCTTTGGAACCTCAACTGAAAAGGAGCGAAACTGAGCTTGTTTCTGATAAAATCTTTTGAAATATGAAAACATGCATATAATTTGCATCAGATGTGCAATGTGCAAATATTAAAAGATAATGATCGATGACACTATATACCTTTCTTTGTAGGTTCTGACACTGGTTCAGGTGCCTTTTCTTTATGAACTTCAGGCTCTATAAAAGAGCAGTTTCAAGTGATGAATGATCATTCATTGGGAAGCAACATCATTACAGGATGATTTTATTCACATCAATACCTTTCTTTACAGGAGCTGGCTTAACTTTCTCCTTGATGACTTCACCCTCTGCAATTATGACAACATAAGAATGTTTAGAGAAAGCAAACATTTTATTTGCACAGTCTTAATTTGGCTTAAGAATGATGGCAATTTGATAACAGTTAATCAAACCTTTCTTCTCAGGAGCTGGTTTAGGTTTCTCTTTGATGACTTCAGCCTCTAAAATCACGATAATATAATATATTTAAAGCTATATCATTATCTTTAAACTGGGCAAAATAGAAATATGTTTTGACGTTGTCTTTCAAAATTAATTGCATTACCTTTCTTTGGTGCTGGCTTTGGCTTTTCTTTGACTATCTCAGGTGCTGCAAAATAAATATATTTAGCTTTTGAAATGCTGAGATAAAATATTTTCTCTCATTTTTTGCTATGGGAAAATCTCACCTATTTTTGGTGCCATTTCAGATGCCTTTTCTTTAGCAACTTCGGGCTCTAGAAAACGGTTTTAATTCATGTAATGAATAGTCATCATACATAAATAAAAACAGCATATGCAGGATGCTTTCACTGTCATCCATACCTTTCTTTACAGGAGTTGGTTTAACTTTCTTTTTGATGACTTCAGCTTCTGAAAGAAAAATATTTCGTTTAGAAAAATATTTAGTAGAATAAAATATTTAGAGAAAAACTTGATTTGAGTAAATTAAAGCCTGGTCTTTAATTTGACAGCACATATCAAGCTACAATAAGAAACTATTACCTTTCTTCTCAGGAGATGGTTTAGCTTTCTCTTTGATGACTTCGGCCTCTATAATGGTGATAATATAAAATATATAAAGCATTAGCATTATCTTAAAACTGCCAAAAATAGAAAGTTAAAAAAATAGTTCTGACACTGTTTTTCACAAATAAATTGCATTACCTTTCTTTGGTGCTGGCTTTGGCTTTTCTTTGGTTATCTCAGGTGCTGCAATAAAAATAAATTATAATAAAATAAAATATCGGGTAAATATTTAAGTTTGAAGAATACCTAACAATGAAGTTTAATACATTCTTAACATCTTTTGCTTTTGAATATGAAATATTTTTCTCAGTTTTGTATGTGGAAATCTCACCTATTCTTGGTGCCGGTTCAGGTACCTTTTCTTTAGCAACTTCAGGCCCTAGAAAACGGTTTTAATTCATGAATATAATAACCATCATCATACAACAGTCATCACCCAGAGGAAAAAAAACAGCATATGCAGGAGGATTTCACTAATATTCATACCTTTCTTTACAGGAGCTGGTTTAACTTTCTCCTTGATGACGTCAGCTTCTGAAATGATGAAAATATGTACAGAATGAGAAAACTTTAGTATCTTTATTGAATTTGAGTAAATTTGAGATTAGCCTTTAATTTCAGCACATATCAAACCACAATATCGGTAACTCTTACCTTTCTTTTCAGGCACTGGTATAGGTCTCTCCTTGATGACTTCTGAAATTTTTTAAATATAAACATATTCAGAGATGTCTAAATACATAATACAGTGTCAATGTACTCCTCTAAAACTCTGAAAAGTTTACAATGAAAGCACACATTATCTGTCTGTGTTGGAAAAAAAAATCAACTTTTTGGGGGTTTTGGTTCAGGGGCCTTTTCTTTAGGAACTTCAGGCTCTAGAAAATGGTTTTAATTTATGAATATAATAACCATCATCATACAACAGTCATCATTCAAAGGAAAAAAACAGCATATATGCAGGATGGTTTCACTGATATTCATACCTTTCTTAACAGGAGCTGGTTTAACTTTCTCCTGGATGACTTCGGCCTCTGAAATGATGAAAATATTTACAGAATGAGAAAACTTTAGTATCATCATTGAGTTTGATTAAATTTGAGATTAGTCTTTAATTTGAGTACATATCAATCCACAATATCGGTAACTCTTACCTTTCTTTTCAGGCACTGGTTTAGGTTTCTCCTTGATGACTTCTGAAATTTTTTTTATATAAACATATTCAGAGATGTCTAAATACATATAATACAGTGTCAATATACTCCTCTAAAGCTCTAAAAAGTTTACAATGAAAGCACACATTATCGGTCTGTGTTGAAAAAAAAATCAACTTTTTGGGGGTTTTGGTTCAGGGGCCTTTTCTTTAGGAACTTCAGGCTCTAGAAAATGGTTTTAATTCATGAATATAATAACCATCATCATACAACAGTCATCATTCAGAGGAAAAAACTGCATATATGAAGGATGATTTCAATGATACTCATACCTTTCTTAACAGGAGCTGGTTTAACTTTCTCCTTGATGACTTCGGCCTCTGAAATGATGAAAATATTTACAGAATGAGAAAACTTTAGTATCACTGAGTTTGAGTAAATTTGAGATTAGTCTTTAATTTGAGCACATATCAATCCACAATATCGGTAACTCTTACCTTTCTTTACAGGCACTGGTTTAGGTTTCTCCTTGTTGACTTCTGAAATTTTTTAAATATAAACATATTCAGAGATGTCTAAATACATATAATACTGTGCCAATGTACTCCTCTAAAACTCAAAAAAAAGTACAATGAAAGCACACATTATCGGTCCATGTTGACAAACAAATCAACTTTTTGGGGGTTTTAGTTCAGGGTCCTTTTCTTTAGCAACTTCAGGCCCTAGAAAACGGTTTTAATTCATGAACATAATAACCATCATAATACAACAGTCATCATTCAGAGGGAAAGAAACCGCATATGCAGGAGGATTTTACTGATATTCATACCTTTCTTTACAGGAGCTGGTTTAACGTTCTCCTTGATGACTTCAGTCTCTGAAATAATGAAAATATGTACAGAATGAGAAAACTTTAGTATCATCATTGAGTTTGAGTAAATTTGAGATTAGTCTTTAATTTGAGCACATATCAATCCACAATATCGGTAACTCTTACCTTTCTTTTCAGGTGCTGGTTTAGGTTTCTCCTTGATGACTTCTAAAATTTTTAAAATATAAACAAATTCAGAGATGTCTAAATAGATATAATAAAGTGTCAATGTACTCCCCTAAAACTCAAAGATTTTACAATGAAAGCACACATTATCGGTCGGTGTTGAAAAAAAAAATCAACTTTTTGGGGGTTTTGGTTCAGGGGCCTTTTCTTTAGGAACTTCAGGCTCTATAAAACGGTATTTTTTCATGTGATAATTTGATCAATATACAGTGGAAAGTGACAGCATATGCAGGATGATTTCACTGATATTCATACCTTTCTTAACAGGAGCTGGTTTAAGTTTCTCCTTGATGACATCAGCCTCTGAGATTATGAAAATATTTACAGAATGAGAAAACTTTAGTATCATCATTGAATTTGAGTAAATTTGAGATTAGTCTTTAATTTGAGTACATATCAATCCACAATATCGGTAACTCTTACCTTTCTTTTCAGGCGCTGGTTTAGGTTTCTCCTTGATGACTTCTCAAATTTTTAAAATATAAAAATATTCAGAGATGTCTAAATATGATTTCACTGATATTCATACCTTTCTTAACAGGAGCTGGTTTAAGTTTCTCCTTGATGACATCAGCCTCTGAGATTATGAAAATATTTACAGAATGAGAAAACTTTAGTATCATCATTGAATTTGAGTAAATTTGAGATTAGTCTTTAATTTGAGCACATATCAATCCACAATATCGGTAACTCTTACCTTTCTTTTCAGGCACTGGTTTAGGTTTCTCCTTGATGACTTCTAAAATTTTTTAAATATAAACAAATTCAGAGATGTCTAAATACATATAATACTGTGTCAATGTACTCCTCTAAAACTCTAAAAAATTTACAATGAAAGCACACATTATCGGTCCATGTTGACAAAAAAATCTACTTTTTTGGGGTTTTAGTTCAGGGCCTTTTTTTAGCAACTTCAGGCCCTAGAAAACGGTTTTAATTCATGAATATACGTAATAACCATCATCATACAACAGTCATCATTCAGAGGGGAAAAAAACGCATAGGCAGGATGATTTCACTGATATTCATACCTTTCTTTACAGGAGCTGGTTTAACTTTCTCCTTGATGACTTCAGTCTCTGAAATAATGAAAATATGTACAGAATGAGAAAACTTTAGTATCATCGAGTTTGAGTAAATTTGAGATTAGTCTTTAATTTGAGCACATATCAATCCATAATATCGGTAACTCTTACCTTTCTTTTCAGGTGCTGGTTTAGGTTTCTCCTTGATGACTTCTAAAATTTTTTAAATATAAACAAATTCAGAGATGTCTAAATACATATAATACTGTGTCAATGTACTCCTCTAAAACTCTAAAAAATGTACAATGAAAGCACACATTATCGGTCCATGTTGACAAACAAATCAACTTTTTGGGGGTTTTAGTTCAGGGTCCTTTTCTTTAGCAACTTCAGGCCCTAGAAAACGGTTTTAATTCATGAATATACGTAATAACCATCATCATACAACAGTCATCATTCAGAGGGGAAAAAAACGCATAGGCAGGATGATTTCACTGATATTCATACCTTTCTTAACAGGAGCTGGTTTAACTTCCTCCTGGATGACATCAGCCTCTGAAATGATGAAAATATTTACAGAATGAGAAAACTTTAGTATCATCATTGAATTTGAGTAAATTTGAGATTAGTCTTTAATTTGAGCACATATCAATCCACAATATCGGTAACTCTTACCTTTCTTTTCAGGCGCTGGTTTAGGTTTCTCCTTGATGACTTCTGAAATTTTTTAAATATAAACATATTCAGAGATGTCTAAATACATATAATACAGTGTCAATGTACTCCTCTAAAACTCAAAAATTTTACAATGAAAGCACACATTATCGTCAGTGTTGAAAAAAAAATCTACTTTTTGGGGGTTTTGGTTCAGGGGCCTTTTCTTTAGGAACTTCAGGCTCTATAAAACTGTATTTTTTCATGTTATAATTTGATCAATATACAGTGGAAAGTGACAGCATATGCAGGATGATTTCACTGATATTCATACCTTTCTTAACAGGAGCTGGTTTAACTTTATCCTTGATGACATCAGCCTCTGAAATTATGAAAATATTTACAGAATGAGAAAACTTTAGTATTATCATTGAGTTTGAGTAAATTTGAGATTAGTCTTTAATTTGAGCACATATCAATCCACAATATCGGTAACTCTTACGTTTCTTTTCAGGCACTGGTTTAGGTTTCTCCTTGATGACTTCTGAAATTTTTAAAATGTAAACATATTCAGAGATGTCTAAATACATATAATACTGTGTCAATGTACTCCTCTAAAACTCTAAAAAATTTACAATGAAAGCACACATTATCGGTCCATGTTGAAAAAAAGTCAACTATTTGGGGGTTTTATTTCAGGGGCCTTTTTTTTAGCAAACTTCAGGCCCTAGAAAACGGTATTAATTCATGAATATAATAAGCATCATCATACAACAGTCTTCATTCAGAAGGGAAAAAAACGCATATGCAGGATGATTTCACTGATATTCATACCTTTCTTTACAGGAGCTGGTTTAACTTTCTCCTTGATGACTTCAGTCTCTGAAATAATGAAAATATGTACAGAATGAGAAAACTTTAGTATCATCATTGAGTTTGAGTAAATTTGAGATTAGACTTTAATTTGAGCACATATCAATCCACAATATCGGTAACTCTTACCTTTCTTTTCAGGTGCTGGTTTAGGTTTCTCCTTGATGACTTCTGAAATTGTCAAAATATAAACATATTCAGAGATGATAAAATACATATAATACAGTTTTAATGTACAACACTAAACTGGGTAAAAAGTTTACATGAAGCACAGATTATCAACCTGTGTTGAAAAAAAATCACCTCTTTTGGGTTTTGGTTCAGGTCCCTTCTCTTTAGGAACGTCAGGCTCTATAAAACAGTATTTTTTCATGTAATAATTTCATCAGTATACAGTTGTGTAACAGCAACACAAGCTGATTTCACAAACACACATACCTTTCTTTACAGGAGCTGGTTTAACTTTTTCCTTGATGACTTCAGCCTCTAAAAAAGGAATAATGTAGAAATTAGTGGGGACTATTTTTTAAACAATCTTAGTTTTTTTCCTCATTGATAATGTTAACAGTAAATCAAACCTTTCTTCTCAGGGGCTGGTTTTACTTTCTCTTTGATAACTTCTGCTTCTAAAAATGTGAAAACATTAAAGAGAAAACAAAATACATATATTAGAGTTTTATACTAATCTGCAAGGGGAAAAGTATTAGAGTATTACGCTAAACTGCCAGGATAAAAAGTTTACATTACTTTTTTAAAATTACATTATCTTCTTGGGTTGGGAAATAAGCTCACCTTTTTTGGGTTTTGGTTCAGGAGCCTTTTCTTTAGGAACTTCAGGCTCTGCAAAACAGTATTTTTTCACGTGATAATTTAAACATTATACAGGGGAAAGTGACAACATACACAGAATGATTTAATGAAAAGATATTCATACCTTTCTTTACAGGAGCTGGTTTAACTTTCTCCTTGATGACTTCAGCCTCTGAAATGGCAATGATAATATTTAGAGATCGTAAAATCTTATATTAAAATAATCTTTAACACGGGATAAAATTACACCATGTAAAAAAAAAACTTTTAACTCTTCCTGTACCTTTCTTCTCAGGGGCTGGTTTAGCTTTCTCCTTGACTTCAGCCTCTGAAAAGATAAACTGTTTTTAGCATAAACCTTTTTCTCATTGATAGTGTTCATTTAAAATCAAACAAAATCAAACCTTTCTTTTCAGGGGCTGGTTTTACTTTCTCTTTGATGACTTCAGGTACTAAAATTGTAAAAATATAAACATTTAGAGAAAACAAAATACATACATTAGAGTTTTATATTAATCTGCAAGGGGGAAAGTTTACATTAAAACACATATTATGTGCAAACTTATGGAGGTCGAAACCTGCAAAAACAATAAATAAATAAATACACAAATAAATAAATAAATGTGTGTATAAATACACGTATTCTTGTTTAAATACATAAATAAATAATTAAACGTGATGAAAGTAGGCAAATAAGTAAAATAAATTGGTGGGCAAATGGAAAATGTTTAGGGAAATGCTAAACTCATCCTAACTATATTCCAGTGCTCACTAATTTATTTCTGAATGTAGTTCCACATTTTTTTTACCTCTGCGCAACATGCTAATGAGAGGGTGTCAATTATGCAAGAGTAGATCGTGTGTGACGCGCTTGAGCGTTTGCCTGCGCATGCGTATTAACTTCATCAGTCAAGGGGACTGATTATTATCTTACACTTTTTCATAGGGTTAGTTTTGTAGTTATAATCATGACAGAGCTAAATCATAAAATATTTTAAGTAGCCAATGGAAAATATTAATGTTTACATAGCTCTTAATGGCAATACTGAACCGTTATTTGCTTAATAAACATACTTTTGTCCCCTGTATTTTCTGTTCTGATAACTAATGGGGAAAAAACTGTCTGTTCCTTGATTAAACCACTTCATACCAGTTCTCAAGAATGTATATGAGCCTCTGTTTGTACAATAATAAACTGAGAATCAACTGAGATGTACCCTTGTATATGTCACTAATTTGGTTCGCCCGCCGTACAGAGAGAGAGATTGCTGCAAATTGACTTGGTTGTAGAAGAATTTTACCATAAAAAAAATGGTAGCAACGTTTTAGGTTTTACGGTATTAACTTAAATGTACAGTTAAATACCGTAATTTCATTAACTGATATAATCTTAATATGCCAACCTATTGAAGTACTGAAATCTGTTTTGTACCTTTGTAATACCCACACATGAAAGTCACATGATGAACCAAAACCCATCACAAGCAGCTTTTAAATAATAACATATATAGAACGTGCACAGTGTCATTCACACATACGCTAAACACCATCATGGTAACACACATGAAACTGAAATAATGCAATAAACATTCATTTAACAACATTAGGTGTAACACACAACCCTAATATACAAAACTGATAAGAAAAAACTAAGAAGAAACATAGTTATTTCAACAAAAAAACATCAAATTTGAAATGTAACGCAGGGAATTCTGGGAATGTCAATTTACGGTTATTCACTGTAAATTATACAGTCTTTTTCACTCGTATACTACCATAAAATTAATGTCCAATACATGTAATGTCCAGTACAGTTTTTCACCGTATATAGTAGGGAAATTTACCGTTAACCATTTAACAGGTTTTTACTGTAGCATTTTTACAGTCTTTTACCATTAAATTCATGGCCATTTTTTACAGTGTGCCATCAAATGAACGAGCCCTTATTCCACGGATAAAGTGAATAATTTCACGATGACCATGGGATACTGATATTACAGTTGTCTCTAGAGCTGGAGACTCAATCGGGTTACAAAAAATGACGTCAGGAAACGACACTGGCCATTTCGTTGGGTCGTTTTTAAAGTCACAGATACTGTGCGGACAATACAGCTCAGTTTTTTTATGTATCTTGCTCTGTTGAATGGAAAAAGTGACTTTAAGTAGGCCATACTGGATTAACACCATGCATTTCCTATCAGCGGGAAATAATTGTTTTCCCCAGCTATGACATGACCCAGACTAAAGTCCATGGTTGACACCCTCTCATTAGCATGTTGCGCAGAGGAAAAATAAATGTGTAACTTCATTCAGAAATAAATGAGTGATCAAAGGAAAATAAATAGGATGAGTTTAGCATTTCCTTAAACATTTTCCATATTCCCACCAATTTATTTTATTTATTTGCCTACTTTAATCACATGTTTAATTTATTTGCATATTTATTTATTTATTTGTGTATTTATTTATTTATTGTTTTTGCAGGTTTCGTCCTCCATACAAACTCACCTCTTTTGAGTTTTGGTTCAGGAGCTTTCTCTTTAGGAACTTCAGGCTCTATAAAACAGTATTTTTTCCATGTGATAATTGTGTCAGCGGTAACGGAAAGGCAACAGTAACACATTGCGATTTCATTGACACATACCTTTCTTTACAGGAGCTGGTTTAACTTTCTCCTTGATGACTTCAGCCTCTGAAATAGCAATGATAATGAGAGGTATGAGATAATATAAGAGATCGTAAAATATATTTATGAGAAAATTATAACTTCATCTTTAACACCAGGAAGAAGAAAAAAAATCACACACACAAAAAAAAAAGAGTTAACTCTTACCTTTCTTCTCAGGGGCTGGTTTAGCCTTTTCCTTGACTTCAGGCTCTAACATGATTATAACATAAAAGTATTAGCACTTACTTAAAATCAGGGACTTTTATGGCTTTATTCTTATGAAAAATTGCAGTACCTTTCTTTGGTGCTGGTTTTGGTTCTTCTTTAGTTATCTCAGGTGCTGCAAAACATGAAGGTTTAACTTCAGATGTTATCTTTTAAAATAGCAGCTGTGATGTTATAAGTTAACACATAAGTTGTCAAATATCCTGTAATACACATTTCTGTAATACTAGCAAATATAAACAAGCCATAATTGACTGTTTTTGCCAACATCTACTGATGTGTTGATAAATCAGCAGTATTAGGTCATATAGTAAATGTGTACCTTTTACTTTAGGGACTAGTTTCGCCCTTTCCTTTGGAGCTTCAACTGAAAGGTTTTGGAAGATAAATAAGAATGTTTCAGAGCAAAACCTTCAAAACTCAAACATAACTTTCAAGTATTCAAAATCACACAGATTACCAGAAAAACACGCATATAATACCTCTCTTTGCAGGTTCTGGTGTTGGTTCAAGTGCCCTTTCTTTAGGAACCTCTTTCTCTGTAAAACCGAATGGTTTGTTATGATAAATGATCATCATACATGATCAAATCATCAATATGTGCAGATTTTTTACTGAATCCACACCTTTCTTTATAGGAGCTGGTTTAAGTTTCTCCTCGATAATTTCTGCCTCTACAATGATGATAATATACAAATATTAATATATTAGTTGTATCACATTTTGCTTATAAAAGAGTTAATCAAACCTTTCTTCTTAGGGACAGGTTTAGCTTTCTCTTTGATGACTTCAGCCTCTACAAAACAGAAAACAGAAGAATATTTCAGTTTCATGTTAAACAGTTCAAATATAAATAGATTGACCATATTTTTGGTAAAAGTTTACAATGCAAAAAGAACTGAGAGGAAAAAAACTCACCAATTTTGGGTTTTGGTTCTGGAGCCTTTTCTTTAACAGCATCAGGCTCTTTAGAACAGTATTTGTACATGTGATAAATGATCATTATAATGTCAAAATCAGCAATGCAAGAAAATATTGTTGATATCCCCACCTTTCTTTACAGGAGCTGGTTTAGCTTTCTCCTTGATGACGTCAGCCTCTGAAAGAAAAGTATGTGAACATTTAAAAAACATATTATGTTATATTTTTTGAGGGAAAATATTAACTTTAACTTGGGGTAAAAGCACACATGATAATGTCTACCTTTCTTCTCAGGGGCTGGTTTAGATTTTTCCTTGATGACATCAGCTTCTAAAATATTGATAATATAAATAATTTTAACATATTATTAGCAAAATATTGCTCACAGACATTGTTCATTTAATTGTTAACACAGTAAACCAAACCTTTCAACTTAGGGACTGGTTTAGCTTTCTCTTTAACAGCTTCAGGTTCTATAAAACACAAAACAGAAGGATATTTAAGTTTCATCATGTCAAACAATTATTTTTTATTTTTTTGTGCTATAATTAGACCAACTGTATTTCTGATACAAATGTAAAATGTTCTAGAAGGCCTATGGGAAAAACCTTTCACCTTTTTTGGGTTTTGGTTCAGGAGCCTTTTCTTTAGCAACTTCAGGCTCTATAAAACAGTATTTTTGCATGTGATATTTGATCATTATAATGTCAAAATCAGCAATGCATGATAATGTGACTGACATCCATACCTTTCTTTAAAGGAGCTGGTTTAGCTTTCTCCTTGACTTCAGCCTCTGATGAGAAAATATTTAGAGAATGTGAAAGATTCTATTTTATATCATTTTTATATTTAAATTTTTAAGGCAACATATTAACTTGATTTTTAAGTTGGGATGAAAGCCCGCATGAAATGATAACTTCTACCTTTCTTTTCAGGGGCTGGTTTAGCTTTCTCTTTGATGACTTCAGCCTCTAAAATGTTGCAAAACATTTTAACATATTACATTTATCTGAGAGACAGTGTAAACACAAATAAATGTAAGTAGGCATACCTTTCTTTGGTGCTGGCTTGGGTTTTTCTTTAATTATCCCAAGTTCTGCAAAACAGAAGAGTTTAATGTTAATAAAGGAGAACTTGAGTTGAGACTTCTCATGGAATTAATTATCATAATGTGCTTTGCAATATTTATAAAAGCCAAGTGACTAGAGTCAATAAATTGACAGTATTTGCTATGCATTCACAAATTAGCAGGTCATTTAAGATGCAAACATGGTTTTGTGTTATGAATAATCATCATACATTAAAAACAACAGTATTTACACAGGATGATTTCATATCCATACCTTTCTTTACAGAGGCTGGTTTAATTTTCTCCTTGATGACTTCAGCCTCTATAATAATCATATTGCAAATATGTTTAGAGAAAGAATTACATTCTGATAACTACAATGAAAATTGAATACATAAAGTAAATCAAACCTTTCTTCCCAGGGGTCCGTTTAGCTTTCTCTTTAGTAACTTCAGGCTCTACAAAGCAAAATAGAGCAATTTTAAATAATGCAGTTAAATGCACATATTTAATCTAATGTTAACAAGCACAATAAATCACTTTATTTAATTTTTGTTTTTATTTGATTGACCAATGTCTCAAAAAAGAATTTTTGGGGGGTTTTGGTTCGGAATCGGGAGCCTTTTTTATTGCAACTTTAGGCTCTATGAAGTGTTTAAAATGAATCTGATATAATTCATGCGATTCATCATACAGCAGAGTATCAGCATATGCAGGAGGATTTCATTTATATCCATGCACCTTTCTTTACAGGAGCTGGCTGAACTTTCTCCTTGATGACTTCAGCCTCTGAAATAACAATATTTTATGAATATTTAGAGATAGTTAATGTCTTTTTCGCATTATCGTAAAATGTGTTTATTAGTTTTATCTTTACCACAAAGTGAAACCACTTCTGAAGCTAAGATAATAGCTCTTACCTTTCTTCTCAGGGGCTGGTTTAGATTTCTCCTTAACGACTACAGCCTCTGAAATGATGATAATGCAAAAATTTTTAGAGGAATCCAAAGACATCCTTTTGTGTAATTTAAAATTTTGCTTAGAGGAAATTTTTAAATATTAACATAGTAAATCAAACCTTTCTTCTCAGGGGCTGGCTTAGCTTTCTCTTTGATGAAAATAGCCTCTAAAATATTTAGAAAAAACAACTCGAATCTATTTTGCGTTAAAAAACTAAAGCTGTTCTTATAAATAAATAATGTGTTTAATACTGTACGTTTATGTAATAGAAGCATACTTAAAGCAGAAACACCTTTCTTTAGAGGAACTGGTTTTTAAAAAAAAATAGTAAGAGAAACCAAAACATCAGTGTTATATTAAAATATAGCTAAAAATATTAACTCCATATACCTTTCTTCTTAGGGGCTGGTTTAGCTTTCTCCTTGATGACTTCAGCCTCTGAAATAGCATCGATATACAATATTTAGAAGTTTTAATATTTTAATAGTAATAGCTTGTGTAAAATGTTTCTTAACAATAAATTAAACCTTTCTTCTCAGGGGCTGATTTGGCTTTTTCTTTGATAACTTCAGTTTCTGAAATTGTGAAAATAGAAAACATGAATTAAAACAACTGACATGAAACTTGTTCCGTGAGAAAATCATTTTAATGTGATGAACAAAAGCATTTCACATCCATACCTTTCTTTACAGGAGCTGGTTTTGCTTTCTCCTTGACTTCAGCCTCTGAAATGACAATGTGGTGATTGCTGAAGTTTTTTTTTTAAAAATATTATCTTTAAAACCACTGAGATATGTGCTTTGCAATATTTATAAAAGCCAAGTGACTAGAGTCAATAAATTGACAGTATTTGCTATGCATTCACAAATTAGCAGGTCATTTAAGATGCAAACATGGTTTTGTGTTATGAATAATCATCATACATTAAAAACAACAGTATTTACACAGGATGATTTCATATCCATACCTTTCTTTACAGAGGCTGGTTTAATTTTCTCCTTGATGACTTCAGCCTCTATAATAATCATATTGCAAATATGTTTAGAGAAAGAATTACATTCTGATAACTACAATGAAAATTGAATACATAAAGTAAATCAAACCTTTCTTCCCAGGGGTCCGTTTAGCTTTCTCTTTAGTAACTTCAGGCTCTACAAAGCAAAATAGAGCAATTTTAAATAATGCAGTTAAATGCACATATTTAATCTAATGTTAACAAGCACAATAAATCACTTTATTTAATTTTTGTTTTTATTTGATTGACCAATGTCTCAAAAAAGAATTTTTGGGGGGTTTTGGTTCGGAATCGGGAGCCTTTTTTATTGCAACTTTAGGCTCTATGAAGTGTTTAAAATGAATCTGATATAATTCATGCGATTCATCATACAGCAGAGTATCAGCATATGCAGGAGGATTTCATTTATATCCATGCACCTTTCTTTACAGGAGCTGGCTGAACTTTCTCCTTGATGACTTCAGCCTCTGAAATAACAATATTTTATGAATATTTAGAGATAGTTAATGTCTTTTTCGCATTATCGTAAAATGTGTTTATTAGTTTTATCTTTACCACAAAGTGAAACCACTTCTGAAGCTAAGATAATAGCTCTTACCTTTCTTCTCAGGGGCTGGTTTAGATTTCTCCTTAACGACTACAGCCTCTGAAATGATGATAATGCAAAAATTTTTAGAGGAATCCAAAGACATCCTTTTGTGTAATTTAAAATTTTGCTTAGAGGAAATTTTTAAATATTAACATAGTAAATCAAACCTTTCTTCTCAGGGGCTGGCTTAGCTTTCTCTTTGATGAAAATAGCCTCTAAAATATTTAGAAAAAACAACTCGAATCTATTTTGCGTTAAAAAACTAAAGCTGTTCTTATAAATAAATAATGTGTTTAATACTGTACGTTTATGTAATAGAAGCATACTTAAAGCAGAAACACCTTTCTTTAGAGGAACTGGTTTTTAAAAAAAAATAGTAAGAGAAACCAAAACATCAGTGTTATATTAAAATATAGCTAAAAATATTAACTCCATATACCTTTCTTCTTAGGGGCTGGTTTAGCTTTCTCCTTGATGACTTCAGCCTCTGAAATAGCATCGATATACAATATTTAGAAGTTTTAATATTTTAATAGTAATAGCTTGTGTAAAATGTTTCTTAACAATAAATTAAACCTTTCTTCTCAGGGGCTGATTTGGCTTTTTCTTTGATAACTTCAGTTTCTGAAATTGTGAAAATAGAAAACATGAATTAAAACAACTGACATGAAACTTGTTCCGTGAGAAAATCATTTTAATGTGATGAACAAAAGCATTTCACATCCATACCTTTCTTTACAGGAGCTGGTTTTGCTTTCTCCTTGACTTCAGCCTCTGAAATGACAATGTGGTGATTGCTGAAGTTTTTTTTTTAAAAATATTATCTTTAAAACCACTGAGATAAAATATCAAAATGAACTCACCTTTTTTCTCAAGAGCTGGTTTAACTTTTTCTTTAATGCCTTCAGGCTCTAAAATCATCATAATGTTTAATCATACATGTTGTTACAGAAAATGGTAATTTAATTCTTAATACAGCAAATCAAACCTTTCTTCTCAGGAGCTGGTTTAACTTTCTCTTTGATGACTTCAGCCTCTAAAATATATATATATTTAAAATTGAAATAAATGAATAATATAGACAAATGCAAATGATTAGCATTATCTTACAAAAGGCCAGTGGAAAAACTGTTTATTTACCCTTCTTTGGCACCGGTTTGGGTTTTTCTTTGGTTATTTCAGGTTCTGCAGCAAAAAAAAAGTGTTTAACTTGAAAATTTGCAGATGTAGAGATCTCAATCAATAAGGTGCTGCATTACATAATTAGTAAAAGGGATTTTGAATCGACAGGTAAACTAGATATGTACCTTTCTTTTCAGAAACTGGTTTTTCCTTTTCCTTTGGAACCTCAACTGAAAAGACATCACAAGGTTAATTGATATTAGCTTCTAGAAAAACCTTATATGAAAATATGCATATGAGGTATTTTTTCAAAACTGCAAATTTGATCATCTATGAGACAATAACATGTTATGTGATGAATGATCATCATACAGCTGAAATCTAAAGTATATGATTGTTTCATTCATATTCATACCTTTCTTTACAGGAGCTACTTTCTCCTTAATGACTTCAGCCTCTATAAAATAATGTAGTAGAGTAATTGTAAATAGGCAATTTAAAATGTGATTAGCTTGTGTAAAACGTCAATCTGAGGAAACAGAAGCATACATGAAATGGATAATAAAAATATAAAAAGTTTCAATAAATGTAACTCAAACCTTTCTTCTCAGGGGCTGGTTTTACTTTCTCTTTGATGACTTCAGCTTCTAAAATGAAGTTTATATGAATATTTTAAAGCATTAGCATTGTCTTAAAACTAGGGATGCACCGATATGAAAATTTTGGCCAATACCGATAACCGATTATTCTTTATATTTGAAAGCCGATAACTGACATGTTGGCCGATAAATCCATGCATTATTTATCGGCTTTAAGATATCGGCCAAATTTTCTTATCAGGCCGATACCGATAACAGAAAAAATGAGCATTTATCGGCCGATACCGATATCGTGGCCGATATATCGTGCATCCCTACTTAAAACTGGCCAGGCAAAAGGTTTTGACGTTATACTTAGATACCTTTCTTTGGAGCTGGCTTTGGTTTTTCTTTGATTATTTCAGGTGCTGGAAAGCACAGCAGTAAAGAACAGTCAGTATTGGCTTTTTTACATGAGCAGATGTGTTATTTAATCAATGATACAGTGTCACATAATAAATTAAAGTGATTTTTTTATTTAAGGCTAACTGGATATATATATATACCTTTCTTTTCTGGGACTGGCTTTGCCTTTTCCTTTGGAACCTCAGCTGTAAGGGATTACAAGGATAAGTTGGAAAACTTCTGTATGATATCTGTATGAGATTCAGTCTAATCTAGTATTCATTGCTGTAAATGTTGATAAAGCATATACTGTATCTACCTTTCTTTGGAGGTGCTGGTTTCTCTTTGACAACTTCAGGCTCTATAAAACACATGAATAATTTACTCAATGTCAAGCAACTTGAAATGGTAGGATGAAGTATCTCTCTATAGAACAATTAAACTGAGTGCTGATGAAATGTAAAATATTCGGTAAATGTTTTTAAAGGTTCAGGCACTATAACCTATTTTGGGTTTTGGTTCAGGTGTCTTTTCTTTAGCAAATTCAGGCTCTGTAAAGTAGTTTTAATGCAAAAAGATAATTACAGTAGAAAACAACAGCATATACAGGATGATTTCCTTGACATCCATACCTTTCTTTACAGGAGCTGGTTTAACTTTCTCCTCGATGACCTCTGAAATGGCAATGATGTGAAAATATTTAGAGATTGTAAAAGGTTTTCTTTAGCATTATGTTTAAACGTCCTTGGATAATTTTTTAACAATAATGGCTAATAATAGTAACTCAAACCTCTCTTCTCATGGGCTGGTTTAACATCTTTGATGACTTCAGCCTCTGAAATGATAAAAAAGAGGAAACAAAATGGCTTTTTAGCATAAATGTTCTTACATTTTTGGGGTAAATGTTAATGTGACTCCTAATTTCGCTTAACAACAATACCTTTCTTTACAGGAGCTGGTTTAGCTTCCTCCTTGACAACTTTAGCCTCTGAAATGTCAATGACGAGTAAATATTTTGATACTATAAATTATTTTCTTTAGCATAATTTTTCAAATGTGTTTGTTGAATGTGATTTCTGTGTGATGACTTCAGCCTCTTACATTGTGATGATGAAAACAAAGCAAGCAAAACACTATCATTGTCTTAAAACCTAACAGGAGAAAATATTAATACAACATTATTGTTCTCACAAATAATGTTACATGCCTTTCTTTGGTGCCCTGGGTTTCTCTTTGGTTATCTCAGGTTCTGCAAAACAAGGAATTTATGAAACATAAAAAAGCTTGGAATATGACACACATTATAAAACGGATAGTTCCGGTCCTTGATTCTGATTGGCTGAGCCACGTTCGAAGCTGTTGTAAATTACTCTACAAACATACACCTTTGTTTACGTTTGTCTGTTGCTTGCCAACCACTTTGTTGCAACCTCAACTGATTCTGAGGAACTACATTGTATGAGGGAAAAATAATGTTTTTATTAATATCATTACACTTTATTTGCTCTGTTTTATTTTGTGAAACCACTACGTATATGGAATAACCGTGTTATAAAAGCAATAAGCACCGTGAAGCCGTGGTTTACAGTGAATTTATAACAGCTAAGCGTTAATGCCCCTTAGCTGTTATAATTCACTGTAAACCACGGCTTCTTGGGGCTTATTGCTTTATTAGTCTTGCCTGGTAGTAAATTTTGCAAACATTTACTGCATCCTTATGTGATACCTTTCTTTGCAGGTTCTGGTTTGGCTTTCTCTTTGGTAACTTCAGGTTCTACAAACAGAAAGATATTTCAGTTTTAAAACAGTTCAGCAAAGACATGCCTTTATAGCAGCTTCAGTCTCTGAAACTATGCGTAGAAAAACTGATTTTGTCATTTTGCCATACAAACTGTAAAATAATTGTATACCTTTCTTTGGTGCAGGTTTAGGTTTTGCCTTTTCAACTGCAACAGCAGGTTCTGCGAAACAATTATTTCAATTATTATTAAAATCATTCTCCCAGATTTCCAGGTTCAGTTTAACATTTCCTTTTCCTTTTTAATGTTGTATATTAGCAATTATACTGTAATCACAGACATATCCATACCTTTCTTCACAGCTACAGGTTTTAGTTTGTCCTTGGCAACTTCTGCCTCTGAAATATATAATATTATACAGAATATATTTTTACACAACAAAAGAAAAAACAGTGCACAAAACCCTGAATCACTTCAAAAACATGATAAACTATTTAGACAATTAACCTTTTTTGGTAGGTTCAGGTTTTGCTTTTGCTTTTGGAACTTCAGGTTCTGTGAAAAATGGAAAATCAACAACATATTCAGTGGAGTGTTTCATGCGCTCATATTCAGATGAAACAAATAATTAAAGATCCCCTCTTTGTCTTGATATAAACAGGTAAGGTTTTAACTTGTTACTGGCCAGAAATAAACACTTGTTAAGTAGTATAAATACCTTTCTTTACAGAAGCAGGTTTGGGCTTTTCTTTTACAGCTTCTAAAAGAATAAAAAGTTTAACATCAACATTTATTTCCAAATTACATGAGCACAAGAGTAGTACCTTGTGCATCTTTTCACATTTGAAAATGATTACCTTTCTTTGGAGGTTTCTCCTTTTCTTTAATAATTTCAGGTTCTAAAAATCAAGTCAAACTGCTTGGTAAAATATTTATGTAGATCTAATGTACATGCTTAAGCAATGTCAAATATTCCGAAAGTTTTCTTATCAAACAAATCAATCGTTTTTCTGTTTGTAATAACCATTTTAAGGTATGCATGTTGAAATATAAAAACAACTGCAATCATTTTACCTTTCTTTGAAGGTTCTGGCTTGGCTTTTTCTTTGGAAACCTCAGGCTCTGTACATTAGAGGATGTAAGCAGTTAGCATCATTAACATTGCAAAAATATGTCCAATAAAATCAATCTGTACCTTTCTTAACTGGGGCTGGTTTCACTTTCTCCTTAGTAGCTTCAGTATCTGAAATGATCAGAACTGCATGCATTAGAAAGTGAATTAATGAATAACGACTAGTTAAAACGCTAATACTTGAAAATAGTTTTTTTAACCTTTCTTCAAAGGTACTGGTTTGACTTTCTCTTCTGCAACTGCAGGCTCTACAATTCAAGGAAAAGTAGGTTTAAGATTGGAACAATGCACTCATCGATAAATTTAAGAAAGGAAAATGACTAATTACCTTTTTTAACAAGAGCAGTTGTTGGCTTCCCTTCTAAAAAAAATGGAGATACATATTCAATAAATTATATATAAGACTGACAAAAAATTGATCAAGGCCATATATTTCCATATTACCTTTCTTGGCAGTTGGTGGTTTTTCTTTCTCCTTAGAAACATCAGGCTCTGAAAATGAGACAGCAGGCTCAGCTAATGCATAAAAATAGCTTTTAAATGAATTTCTGTTACTTTAAGCGCATCCTACCTTTCTTCAAAAGGGCCGGTTTAATTTTGTCCTTGGGAGCTTTAGCCTCTGAATAAATAAGAAAAGAGAAAAGCATTTCAACTTGCTGATTTCAATTTTTCCTCTGAGGCTCTTTAACTGACTACGTGGATATGGGCAGTTAAATCTGTGAACATATTTTCCAATAAAATAAAATTATTCTAACATTAAATACATAATTTAGAGTTCAAAATGTGATACCTTTCTTTACTGGAGCAGCTTTCTCTTTCTCTTTGGGGGCTTTGGCTAAAAGTATGGAAGGACATTATTTGTTTAGATTTGAATTTAGTAGATAAAAGGTTGCACCTTTCTTTTGTGGTGCTGGTTTTGCTTTGTCTTCAACTTTTTTTTCTTTACATAAACAGTAACAGGTCATCACAAAAGACATGATATTTCCATTTGAATCTATATACTGTATGTAAGAGCAAGGCTGTAAAAACAATGTCAAACAACACATTATACAATGAAAAAATTATTATTAATATTTGTTTAATAACAGGAGTCATACCTTTCTTCACAGGGACAGATTTTTCTTTCTCTTCAGCTGCTAAAATGCATCAATATGTTATTGTTACTGGTTTCTTCTAAATTCAATGCTAGCTAAAATAGTAGATAATACCATACCATAGAATAAGAGCGAATTAAATGCATGAAAATTATAGTTCAGGTTTTGGAATCTCAAAAGAGCTGGTTTTGCCTTCTCTTTTTTACCTTTCTTTGAGGGCTCCGGTTTGGCCTTCTCTTTGGGAACCTCAGGCTCTGTAATTTCATCAACACCAGCAGTTTATGACACAGAAAAAACACTGCATTTTGTTTAGAATGGCATTGATTGTCTGTGGAATGTCTTACCCTTCTTTACAGGAGCAAGTTTTGCTTTTTCGACAGCAACTTCAGCTTCTACAAGTAAATATAATTACTATACATAAGCAAAGATACATTCAGCATTTTTTTTTCACCTCAAAAACAAATGTAAACAGCACACAATTACCTTTTTTAACAGGTGCTGGTGGTTTATCCTTGGCTTCAGCTTTTGAAATAATTAAAAAATTGACGTACTTTCAATGCATATTTAGTAAACATTTTTTAAAGTTCAGGGGTTAAAATCTTAAATATAGTAACTCTTTTTGCTTTAACAGTTTTGTTTTTGCAGCTTCAGGTTGCAGCAATGCATGGCATACATTACATAATACAATCAAACTGATTAGAAAATACTTAAGGAGAAACAGAAAAAAAACATACATTTCTTCACAGGTTTAGCTTTTTCCTTGGGAGCTTCAGCTGTAATATGAAATAAGAAGATGTAAAACGTTTCAATGAATATTCAGTTGTATTACAATAACATTTTACTTGTTAAATATGTTGTTTGGTTTGCATTATCCATGTAGCCCATATGGATTTTAAAACTGAATAAGCATGCGTAAGGTGAGGAAAGTTACAGTGTGATCATCAACCCCAAAGTTATTGAGAAAGGGATCTCTAACCCTTAAAGGACACATATTTCAGCCATAATATGTTTACAGATGAACATGCAAGCTTTGTACCTTTCTTTGAAGGTGCAGGCTGGACCTTTTCTTTAATAACTTCAGGTTCTGTAAACATTTGAAACAAACTGTTCATATAATCTGTTAACTTACGCAAAGCTTCATAAATAGTAATACATACAATACAAAGTACCTTTCTTTACTGGCTTAGCTTTTTTCTTGACAACCTCAGCAACTAAAAGAGAAAATATGTTATCTCTGATACAAAAAACACAACTTTGTATGATAAACTTGATTTTTATTTTTACAGCACAAGCATACCCTTTTCTTTTGGAGCTGGTTTTGCCTTTTCTTTGATAACATCAGCTTTTTCTAAAAAAAAGAAAGAAAAAAAAGTGAATACTTCAGACAGGAAAATAACAATATTTTCTAAACAAAAGAAAGCATCTAAAATGGGAGTAGCAGCATGAGAGACTTTAAATATGCATTGTGATACCTTTCTTTGAACGAGCTGGTTTGGCCTTTTCTTTTGTAACTTTGGGCTCTGCAAATGAGTGGAGAAAAATATAAAAAGTATTTACAGTGAAATTTGATCCATTTAAAAGTATTAATTTTTTTCATAAATAGTCTAACGGACCCCAAACTTTAAAAAGGTAGTGACATGTGGCGATCCATACTTGGAATTAGTGCTCTGCATTTAACCCATCCTTAGTGCACACACACAGTAGTGAACACACACCCAGAGCAGTGGGCAGCCATTTATGGTTAAGGTTCAGTGCCTTGCTCAAGGGCACCTCAGTCATGGTATTGAAGGTGGGAGAGAGCGCTTTACATTCCCCCCTCCCACCTACAATCCCTGCCGGTACGAGACTCGAACCTGCAACCTTTGGGTTACAAGTCCGACTCTCTAACCATTAGGCCATGACTTCCCCAATGTGTACACATAATGTGGTTTAATTATGAATTTGCTTTATTATGTGTGCTCAGTAAAGCAAGAACACACAACACAATACCTTTCTTAGATGGTGCTGGTTTGGTCTCTTTTTTGGCCACTTCAGCTTCTGAGAAATAAGCATTACATTTATTTCCTGTTAATTCAGAATTGAACAAACGGAACATCAATTATCACACAAGATGCATACCTTTCTTTACAGGTACTGCTTTGATTTTGTCCTTGGCCACCTCAACATCTATGACACAATAGAAACAATAGTTGGCGGTGAGCTGGCTGTTATAGACATGCATAAAATACATAATTTTGTTTCACAATTTTGGCTTCTGTGCGATATATTACATTTAGGAATGTTTGTGGACTTTGTGGGAGATTTTATTTCCAAAAAAACAACAACAACATTGAAATATATTGTCCATGAACAGGATGTGTTGAATACCTTTCTTTGCTTGTTTAACCTTTTTCTCAGGTCCTGCGCATACGAAATTGTATACATTAGAATTTTGTAATATTACATTTTGTATTGAGTTTTTTTAGACAGCTTTGTAAAAATGCATGATGATCATGTGAGAATCCATATCAAAACTACTGTAGCATTATTTTCTATTACAAAAAATAAAATAAAATATCAATATAATGGACTAAAGCTGAAATATATAGTGTTTCAATTAAAAACTGTACATTAACCCTCAGACAGTGTAATGAGCAAGCAAAGCTTTATTTATCTATTTTTGCCATTAGTGCATCATGTACCAGATTTCTTCTTTTTTAGAGGAGGTTCCTCAACCACTTTAGTCACCTTGACCTTTTTGTCAGGTTTTTTCTTGGTGTCCTTTTCTAGAACACATTTCACATACATAGTACACATATATTATCTATTGAAACAGAGGTGTGGGGTTTTACATGTAATCTATAAGCAACTGTAGGTCTGTAGCAGTGGGCTGAACGTAGCCTTCAACCTTCATCGTGAAGAACAGAGCAATCTACAATCTAAATGTTGATGTTGAGCTTTTCACAAAAGAGAAATGAGATATCCTATACATTAAGTAGATAAGTTCAGTATGCTTTATCAGTCTTACTTGTTGGTTCTCGAGTCTTGTCCTCTTTGGATTTATCTTTGCTTTTAGCCTTTTCTATCTCCTTTTTCTCATGTTCTTTTTTTTTCTTGACTTTTTCTACTGTTATGTTTATTTGTTGTAGTGTTATCTCTTCCTCTTCACCATCAGCCTTCTTCTCCCGCATATCTGGAAGAACAGAAAAGATAATGAGTCACAGTTCTATCAGTTTTCTCTTAAATTGCAGTTTTCATTCTGCACAAGCACTGTATTTTACAGTGTGCAAGCACTGAAGAAAACAACAAACCATTCACCTTGAATGATTTTGTATATCTCCTCTCTAGCTTTTTTCTGTTTGGCTTCTTTCACTTGTTCAAGAACTGAAATCATGAGTAAATGTTAAATGAAAGTTACAGGTTTTAACATCCACATGATTAATGAACAATGAGAATGAGAGCATGAATTAGTGCACTATGAGTGTGTTAATTTAACATTAATAGTACTTGTAAAGCAGCAAAGTGGTTTTCAGCCATGTCATTGTGTTAGATGGCAAACTAAAATTAATAATGGATAAATTCAATAATTAATTCTCTTAATGGAATCATTCAATTAAGCAACATAAACAGCTTTGCAAATAATCACTGAAATTATTAAAGTATTTTGTATGGTTTTCATTTTTCCCAATGATTTGAATTGAGAAAGTAATTCTAAATTACACAAAAAAAGAGAAAAAATACCCAATATATATAACATTACATAAAAGCAAACACCATTTTTGTGGACTTTTCCTAAGAAAAAAATATTGAACAAATATGCTACAAAGTGTAATTGATCAATAACATCAAATAGCTCTCTCTAGTTTTATATATAGAAACTTGTACTTCTTTGTGCCCTTTTCAGCATCAGCAATTGCCACATCTTCCTTCTCCTCCTTGCCTTCCACTTTCATGTCATCTTTACCCCGGACTTCAAGATCATCAAGTTCTGTTGCTTCAGTCTTTTCCTTTACACAGATGGTATCTGGAGTAGCTTCAGCCAATTCAGGTAGCTGTTCTTTTTCTACTGAATCTTCGGCTGTTTCTTCAGTGCTGGCATCTTCATCTGTCTCAGGTTCTTCTTCCTCACCTATGAAATCAGAAGTATCTTTAACTTTTTCAGGTTCTTCCTCCTCCTCTGTAACATTGGGATATTTCTGAAATTCATTTTCATCTGTATTGTCTAATTCAGTTTTGGTTGTAACATAGGAAGTACCTTCTGCTGTTTCAATTGCTGCTTCTTCAATTGTTTCAGTTGATTCTTTCTCCTCTATAACTGCAGCGGTATCTTGATCTGAGGTATCATCAATGTCGATGACTTCTGGCATATCAGATGGTTCCTCTGTAACATCTGCAATATCTTCAACTGATTTAGTAACTTCTCCCTCTGTAACAACATCTGAGGTATAATCAGTGTCTTCTGTCACATCAGAGGTTATCATAGTTGACTCGTCCTCTATGGAGTCAAATGTATCATCAGCCTTTTCAGTTGCTAATTCCTCATCTATGACTTCTGGAATGTCATATGTTTCCTCCTCTGTAACATCTGGAATATCTTCAGCGGTTTCAGTAACTACTGCCTCCTCTGTAACAGCATCAATGTCTTCTGTCACATCAGAGGTCTTTTCAGCTGATTCGTCCTCTTTAAAATCTGAGATATCTTCAAACTTTTCTGTTGCTATTTCCTCATCTATTACTTCTGGAATATCAGATGTTTCCTCCACTGTAAAATCTACATCTTCAACTGTTTCAGTAACTTCTTCTTCCTCTGTAACGACATCTGAGGTATCGTCAATGTTTTTCATATCTGTAGCATCAGATTCAGTAATTTCAGTTGATTTGTCCTCTGCGAAATCTGAGATATCTTCAGCCTTTTCAGTCACTGTTTCCTCATCTGTGACTTCTGGTATATCTGATGGTTTCTCCTCTGTTACATCTGCGTCTTCAACTCTTTCAGCAACTTCTTCCTCCTCTTTAACAACATCTGAGGCAGCGTCAACATCTTTCACATCTGTAGCATCAGATGTCGTTTCAGTTGATTTATCCTCTGCAAAATCTGAGATATCTTCAAACTTTTCAGGTTCTATTTTCTCATCTATGTCTTCTTGCATAACAGAAGGTTCCTCCTCTGTAACATCTGCAATATCTTCAACTGTTCCAGCAGTTTTATCCTCCTCCATGACATCGGAGGCAGCCTCATCGTCTTCAACTGTGACATCAGAGCTGTCCCAAGCCGTTTCAACCCTCCCTTCCTCCGTTGTAACGTCCACAATATCTTGAGCTTTTTCAGTTGTATCTTCAGCAGCTTCTACCTCACCGCGTTCCTCCTCAACCTCTTTTATTTCCTGTTTAGTACTGTCTGTGGATCTCACAGCAATGTAGGCAGCATAGGCAGGGTCCTGTGTTTTGCCTAGTATTTCTGCAACTGTTTCATGAAGTCATTTTTCATTTCAGGTTTATGACAGAACTAAGCTCATTTTACAGATAAAAACACATTTACCAGTTTATGTGCGAGACACGACAGTTTGTTCAGATTGGAAACATAATTACATCACATTGATGACTTTAACAGTATGCACATGTTACGCCCTGACAAAAAACTTCAGTTGAACCATTTTTAGCAGTTTCATCAAAACCCAAGATTATATTTTGTTATTCTGAAACGTTGAGACCGTTTGTGTAAATGTATGCAATTTTATCCAAAGTGACTTGCACTGCATTCAAGGCATACATTTTATCAGTTCAGGAATGACCTTGCTAGCACAATTCTCTACAGTTTGAAGATTTTTAAATAAACACTTTATGCATCAGGACTGCAGTGACTTGAAATTAAACCCTCGATTTCTTTCCACAACCTCAGCTTAACATCTCAGGGCATTAATATTGTGACATTCACAATATTCTTGCAACATGTGCCATAACTGTGGTAAGAATTCCTACATGCTGTGTGTTTGTGAAGAATATCAACTGACAAATGTATCAGAGAAGGTTAGACATTGCACTACACCGCAAGAAGGAGACAGGAAAACAAACAGCAAGAAATGCATTTGACAAACTTTTTATTTTTGTATTTGGTAAATATGTCATGCACCTTCTTTTAAACCATTCTAGAGAAATTAAACACACATTTTTACATAATGTGAAGAAACATGGGCAGTACTGTGTGAGATGGAGAGTGCAGGACATTAAAATTAACACTATAGTACAGACAGAAAATATAAATGACAATCATCCCTTATGCAGTCATGCAGGTCCTTTTCATGCACCATATTACATAACCTCTATCATTGTTTTCTAAATGTTCTAATTACCAAATGGACTGAAACAGGGTAAGACGCAACATCACTGTGCAATAGACATGGGATGACAACGAAGCAGAAAACGATCATTTTAGTCAATTCAAGATCTTGCATTATAAATGTGTGAGGTTTGAGTACTAGTGTTAGTTTTGTGTTAAAATTTAGCATTTATGTAAATTAAAGAATGTGCATTTACTAACCTTTTTCCATAGGGGGCAGAAATTCTCCTGGAGAAGATTTAGGAATATTGATAGATTAACATATTATATTATATATTAACAGAGGTATTGAGTAGTGAATGAATGAATATTGACACAAACCTTTTCGTCTTATCACTTGTGGTGTGTCATCTGAAACAGAGAATGACACGGATAATTAAAAAATAACTATTTTAATATACAAGCATACATTTGTGATATACTTGATAGGATGAATACCTTTGTCTTCCATGAGCATGTTTGAGAGATAAGCCAAGAACATATCCCTCCTGTCAGCAAACTCTTCAACAGTGTCTGTGACAACTTTCATGGGATCAAAGCTAAGGTCAGGAATACCACCTGGGAAAAATGAAATAACAGAATGCAACTGAATACTCTTACAAATTAAATATTGAATACAAATGTAACACAATGTTTTGAGCTGATAAATGAACAATACCTTCATCCGCTGCAAACAGACTGGATAGGTAATTAGAAACAGTGGTCTTTACTTCTGTGGCCTCCTCTACAACTATTTCAGCCAGCTCCGCAGGATCAGTGCTCATTTTGGGAAACCAAGCTGAAATATTGACAAGGTGCATTTATTTGAGCTTTTTTGATATATATATACACTACCGTTTAAATGTTTGGGGTTAGTGCAATTTTTTTAACGTTTCTTAGGCTCACCAATGCTGCATTTATTTGAGTAAAAATGCAGTAACTTTGTGTGAATTATATCACTGAATGACTAAATTGATGCAAGAAATAAATACCTTCAAGGTTCCCGAATATGGCTGAAGAAATGGTCTTGATCCCACTTAAAATTTGCAGAGCTGCTTCACTGGCAGTGTCTGCTGGATAAATGATTGCTACATCCAGGATATCTATGCAGCATGTAAAGCATTAAACAGAAGTCAGTGAGCAGCTGAAATCATGTTTTACTGAAATGCTCGAATATGACTAATTTCTTCTAATTTCTTTCTCATTTGGGAATTTCAAATGTTGATTGAAATATTTTCTTGAGTTAGAGCACATCATGAGTCTTTGATTGCCTGTCAGCCTGCAAAACAACAACAGCCAATTATTTCTGTAATGTAGGTACCTTCAAATAAGTGGAATAAGTAAGCCACTGGGAATCTAATCCAGTCAGTAACCTCATCCAATACAGTGCCACCAAGTTTCGCTGTTTCAGTGATGCCTGTGTCCCCTGTTAAGTGTTAAAATAAGTCCAAAAAACAGACAATTATACAGGATCAATGCTTATTTTGAGAATCATTGAAAAGATGCATGCACCTATATAGATCAAATAGATTATGTGAGTGTATATATACAATGTTGGTGCTTTGCAGTACCTTCAATGCCCCTAAACATGGTGGAAATACACTGTATAACAGTCTTGATCCCACTTAAAATTTGCACAAGAGCTTCACTGACCATATCCACTGGAGCAACCACTATATCCAGAATGTCTGAAGCACAGAAAGCATTAAACAGGTATTAGTGCTAATAAGACTAATAATTGATTTTTTCCATGTTCATGAGTTATTGTACATAATGAGTCTCTAATTGCATGTCAGCTCCCAGAACCACATCGACCAATTATTTCAGCATGATTAGTAAAGCAGTTACCTTCAAATAAGTGGAATACGTAGCTCACTGGGGATTTGATCCATTCTGTAGCCTCATCCAATACAGTGCCCCCATATTTCACTGTTTCAGTGATTCCTGAATCTCCTGGATGGAAAAACAAATTCAAAACTAAATAGTGTTTTAAATGCTTATAAACTGCTTATAAATGATTTTTAAATGCCATTAATGAACATATGTACATACCATCAGCACTAAATATTCCTGACAGATAAGACACAGATGAGTCAGCAGCTGAACTAATAGCTTCCACCGGATTAAATATTATTTCAGTGACGTGCTCTGTATTCCAAATAAAAGCAGAGAGAATTGCATACAAGTTATGTATGTCGACAAAATGTAATCAGGCTACTTCTCAAAGGACTGGCTTATTCAAAAATTAAAATTCTGTCTTAAAGGGGTCATATGATGCGATTTAAATTTTTCCTTTCTCTTTGGAGTGTTACAAGCTCTTGGTGCATAAAGAAGATCTGTAAAGTTGCAAAGACTAAAGTCTCAAATCCAAAGAGATATTCTTTATAAAAGTTAAGAGTCAACCACGCCTACCTAAAATGGCTCGTTCTAACACGCCCCCACATGTCTACGTCATGATGGTGGAAGATTTGCATTACACCACCCAAATGTTCACGCAAAGAAAGAAGGCATAACTTTTATTCTGTGTACTTTTTATTTCTTATTTCTAGGCGCTGTGTTTCGTTGTGAAAGCGAAACTACTTTGGTTGGCCTTCCAAAAGCTTTCTCAAGCCCGCCCGCCTCTGCTCACTCAAGCCGGCCTCCGCTCACTCTAGGCCGCGGCTCACTCTAGGCCTCCGGCCTCCGCTCACTCAAGGCTGTGGTGTGTGCCGCTTTTTCGAAACTACATTGTTTGGACTTCCTAAAGAGGACACGACTAGAATTCAGTGGTTAAGTTGTATTTACAACACTGTTCCAGAACAGTTTAACCCAAATATTCAGATGTGTGATGCACATTTTGCGGAGGTTGAGGACTGTTTCCTGTGAGAGTAGCCTACAATGCCGGTGTCTGTTTCTATAAAGTGGGGCAGTTCCAACTTTGCAAGGACAGTCT